TTGTTGTTGTTGTTGTTGTTGTTGTTGTTATATTTTTTTTCAAAATGCTAACTTTTTTTCACGTCAGAAATCTGTGGTTGAATCTCAGACTTTTGGTTGAAACCCCAAGTTTTTGGTTGAACTCAAAAAGGTTTTGAACTCACAGCATGAACATCAGGAGGAACTATGAAAGACGTGTCCCCATTGGTCAGTGCGGACTGAAGCRATTTCCTGGTGCGTCCTGGTGGACGACTCACTGTCCTTTGACCCGGGGAGGAAGCACTCAGTCTGTGGCTTGCAAGCCGATGGTCACCCCAGACATTGCTAACAGTTKCTAACAGACAGACAGCKGAGTTTTCTGAGTCTGCTCAGACATATTTCAAATTTTAATCAACTGATCTCTCTGGTGCATTAAACATTTCCTAAAACTTTTTTGTGAGAGGGGAATTTAATCTTAACAAAACAAAATCCATCTATAAAAGCTGCCATGCTCAAATTTCTGTCAGCCATAGCTCCAAGCGATGGATTTTCCCTAAAAGGTTAATCAAAATCTGAGGCAGATTTATTTATTTTTGTTTTCATATTTTAAAGATACCGGAGCCCTGCAACAGAGTTTAGCCTCTTCCAGCCTCCCATCCCATTTTCTGTTATGTTGGAAAGACAGGAGCTCCAGCAAGGACCGCCTGGACAAGATCTGCCCTGTAACCACTAATAACAGCTATTTAAATTGACGACATTCGATTCGAAGCGGATGCACCAGGAAATTGCTTCAGTCATAGGTACACTTCAGAACCGGCTCTTGGCATAGGCGAACTGGGCGGTCACCTAGAGCGCCATCTGCTGGAGGGGGCACTGAACTGCAGAAGAAAAAAGTTATTATTTGTAAATCCCTGGTTGTAACTCTGCTCAGCGCCCCTTTCAATTAGCTTTGTCTTAAAAACAATAATGAGGTATTACAGGAAAAATAAACTACTCCTACTACTAATCCTGCTGACACCCATTCTGACACAGTGAGGACTGAGTTTTTTAGCCGAGGACCTTATGAGGTAAAATCAGACTTATATTTTCCAAAAAGAGAGGACCTTCTAAATCTTTGCACAAATTGTGAACAGGGTCTTTTGTTTACCCTTGTCATTTGATTTAATTTTATTTACTTTATTTATTCATTTAATTTGTTGTGTGATGTATATTTGTGTTTAAAGCAAATAAATCTAAGTTTACCATAGTAAACTAGTGGGGGGAGTTGCGCTTCGACTCGCCTAGGGCACCAAAATGGCTAGAGCCAGCACTGCACATCTTACAGTAGTTTGTCCTTAGGCCCCGCCCCAGATGTTCTCTGAGTTCAAAGCGTTTTAGAGTTCAACCAAAATCTTAGAGCATCAACCAAAAGTTTGAGATTCAACCAAAAAAAAGTGGAAAAAAAGTTTGTATTTCGCAAAAAAAATAAAATAAAAATAAAAAATTTTGACTCAGATTTATTTAAAATTGAAACAATTTTTTTGTTGGATTGAACAAAAAAATACCTTCATACATGTATAATTGCAAATATAAAAAAATAAAAACTTGGGCCAATAAACTCATAGGTCACAATACTTTTAGAAAAAAAGTAAATTAATTAGTTGATTTATCTTTTTATTGGTTCTGTTTATTTAAAGAGGACATGAAAACACTGAAAATTTTTGCAAAAAAAATCTATTTTAATAAACGTTTAAGGTTAAACAAGCAAATTATCTAAAAGTATACATTAAGTAATAACTGGGCTCTGACTGTGGCATTCATGAGGGAGTCTCCAACTGTTTGTCGGGTTTCTCTCTCTGAATTTTCAACATTTTAAATAAGATTGAAGACAAGTTCTCTAAAGTTACAGTTTGAGTCATTATGAACTCATCTTTGAACCCTTTTTAATTTGTTTTCTGTGATTCTATAGTTTTACTTTTTAGCAGTAAAGAAACAGCAAATTTTGTTGCAGATTTGGCCGAGAGTTTGTACAGCACTGTGTGATTCCATAAGAAAATTTTCTTGTAATTTTGTGTTTCTAACGAGTTCCCAACAGTTGCAGCCCAGGTAAAAACTAACTTCAGAACAGAGAAGGTTATCTCCTGCAGATGTTTGATGATAATAAAAGTGAGACGCAGCAGCAGTCTGAATAAACAGCAGAATTACTTTAAATSTGAGCATCAAACTCTGGAGTAAATGGTCTCTTCCTCTGCCTTCCTCTGTCTGCTGCTTGTGTCTTGCTTCTTTTTGAAGTCCAGAGCTGCATAGTGCACAACAGGGAAGTTCTCGATCTGTAACAAATATGACAGCTACAGTATACGTTTTGTCTACATTCAAACACGTGAATCATGTTAGGAGGATGTTATGAACGAACCTCAGTGTCAGCAGCAGTTTCTGGCTGGTGAGACCCTTCAAAAAAATCTGATTTAAACCAATATTCAGTACCGCTAAATATCCAACCATAAATAAAACTGCAGGTATTGTCTGGTAAACAATTGTACCTTCAGAAGTAAGTTGTTTTCTTCTGGACATGCGGCGTAGAGTAGACCACAGGATAAGGTTTACAATCAGAGACACGACCAAGGCTGCAAGCACTGCATAAACTGTTAACTGCTGGTTTCCTGTCAAAACATAGAAAGTGACTAAAGAACAAAGAAGAAAAAGGTTTTAAATAGGGCTTCACAATATATTGCAAATATACTGTCATCCCATCATTGTATGCAATATTCATGTTGTGAAAGTCTGCTTAAAATGCAATAATTCAAGTATTTCAATAGTTTAGAAGTTGTATTTCTTCATGGTAATGCAATATTTAGCCAGCAGGACAGAATCTCAAGGCAACAATAGCCCACATAGACACAAATGACCTTACCAAATATGCTAAAGTTCACATAGAATAGGAAGTACAGATTAGAAAGGGATGAAAGAAAAAAACATATATCACACCTGGTATCGTTGCTGCAATACTTACAAATATTACCACCATCGCAAGATACTTTAAAAAATGTTTCTAACCTTCGACGCTCAGTCTTGTCCCCGTCCCAAACAGAATCTGTCCACATGAAGCCACGGCACAGTAGTATGTCCCAGCATCAAAGTGGCTCACGTTCCTCTTTGATAAACTGTACACACATGAGTGGGCAGGAGACCCCCAGTCAGAGCTCCTCCAGCACTGACCGCTGCTTGTGTACAGGATTCCCAGGTGGGATTTTCCTGAGTCCTTGAACCAATAAGCAGTGTGTTCTCCGTGGCTGGTCCCAGGGATCAGYGTGCAGCTCAAAGTCACAGAGCCTCCTGGTTGGACAGAGTAAGAGTCAGGCTGCTGGAGGAAAGACCTGCAACTCCTATCTACAAAATAGAAGAGATGAGATGTTGAAGGTTCTGAGAAAAATAAAAAAGAAATGCAACCTTAAAGATGTAAACCCTTACGTTTTAGTGCTAAAAAAGTTCCGTTGTTGAATACGGTGACTGAAATGCTGGTAAAGCTGCAAGAGTACATCGCTGCATCAGAGTCTTGGACGTTAGAGATGTTCAGATTGTAAAATCCTTCCCCGATATGAACTGAAAAGCGCTCGTTGCCTTGAAACTGGTTATAGAACCTGTTGGAGTCGGGAGAAGATTTGTAGAAAAACGATATGATCTGAGGATGCTCCCCTGCTACCTGCTTGTACCAGCTCAGGTGTGTGGCACTGGAGGTGAAGAAGCAAGGTAAAGACACATCATCTCCAAAGTTAGCATAGAGCACGTCACCATCTGGAACAGAACAGTAAAAAAACATGAAAATCTAAATTAGGTCTCCTTTCAAACTTCTTTTATCAGCTGTTCCCAGCTGCCTCAGCATGAATAAAAAAATGAGTGACTTACAGGCTCTACTGAGAGGAACCAACAGCACATAAAACCAGAACATCGTCCTCTCTTCTGTTCAGACTCTTCCAGTTTAAACAGCTGCTTCAGTAAAGTGGTCAAAGCTGCACATTCAGCGGAAATGGTCTCTACACAAATAGGTCCTGAAAATTTGTGGGTGTTGACACTCATAAAAAAAATCAAGCCATAAGACCTGATTTAGCCTTTTATTAAAAATAAGTAAACATTTTAATATTTTTTTAAAACACTGTTAGATTGTCTTAAAGAGAAAGTTCACAAAATCCTCTCCCCTTTCTATCCATCATTTATTAATAATTTTGACCTGAAAAGACACAAAGTGTTCTATTGGGTTTTGGCAACATCCTGCCTTTAGTTGAACTTTGCATCACATTATGAAGCATAAATARGTTTTCACATGTTTAAACAATCTTGTGGGGAATTCAGCATCCTTGCATGCATGCATTTAGCTTTAAATGAGTTTTCACTTGTTACACTGACTAACCTTAAAACCAGAAGAGACATGGTAAAATGAGCACAGCAGTCAAATAACAGCTTGGTTCATATTTTGATCTCTGAGCCTTTGTTCTTTTTGTCTTTCATTCCATTAAAAGTCAGTAAAAACCATACAGAGCTGGATTTATGTGGCCTTCTGGTCCAGGATTTCTATTCTCTGAAACAACTACAGCTCAAACCTGTTCCTAAACATACAGTCAGGTCCATATCTATTTGGACAGAAACATATTCCAATTTTGGTTCTGTACTTTGCCCCAATAAATTTAAAACAAAACCTTGAAGTTGAAGTTCAGACTCTCAGCTTTAATTCAGTGGGTTGAACAAAATGATTCATAGAAATGTGAGGAACTAAAGCATTTTTTAAACACAATCCCTTCATTTCAGAGGCTCAAAAGTAATTGAACAAATGAAATAATGGTAAATAAAATGTTCATTTCTAGTACTTGGTTGAAAACCCTTTGTTGACAATGACTGAAGTCTTGAACTCATGGACGTCACCAGACGCTGTGTTTCCTCCTTTTTAATGCTCTGCCAGGCCTTCACTGTGGCTGTTTGTTTGTGGGCCTTTCTGTCTGAAGTTTAGTCTTTAACAAGTGAAATGCTCAGTTGTGTTGAGATCAGGTGACTGACTGGGCCATTCAAGAATATTCCACTTCTTTGTTTTAATAAACTCCTGGGTTGCTTTGGCTTTATGTTTTGGTTCATTGTCCATCTGTAGTATGAAACAACAACCAGTCAGTTTGGCTGCATTTGTCTGGATCTGAGCACACAGTTTGGCTCTGAATACCTCAGAATTCATCCGGCTGCTTCTGTCCTGTGTCACATCATCAGTAAACACTAGTGACCCAGTGTCACTGGCAGCCATGCATGCCCAAACATCACACTGCTCTGCTGTGTTTTACAGATGATGTGGTGCTTTGGATCATGATCTGTACCACACCTTCACCATACTTTTCTCTTTCCATCATTCTGGTAGAGGTTGATCTTGGTTTCATCTGTCAAAGAATGTTCTTCTAGAACTGTGCTGCTTTTTTTTTTACATGTTTTTTAGTAAAGTCCAGTCTAGCCTTTTTATTCTTGAGGTTTCTGAGTGTCTTGCAGCGTGCAGTGAACCCTCTGTATTTACTTTTATGCAGTTTTCTCTTTACTTACGATCAACTAAGAATCTGTTTTTTTCTAAGAATACCATCTTTTTATAATAACATTTTAAAACCGAAATTTGAGTGCAATGACTGATTTTTAATAGCTGGTTCATTGTTTTTCTCGACACCAGATTGCCAGTTTTGTTGTAATAAGATTGTGATGCCAGCAGAGGGCACCATGTGGATAAGTTTTTGCCAGGAGGGGCTTTTCTACTCAATAACAATTATTATTGACTGGATCTTATAGATCACCCAGTTTATCCACCCTTATAGATCTCAACAGCTGGGGCTGAACTTGTTCATTCCAGGGAAATTCTTTTCCAGGGAATTTCTTTTCCAGGGAATTTCTTTTCCAGGGAATTTCTTTTCCAGGGAATTTCTTTTCCAGGGAATTTCTTTTGAGGTTTTATTTACAAAAACTTAATGTAAACCCTGTTATAATCACTGACAAAAAATGAAACTTAGCACTTAAAATTTAGAAATTGTTTGAACTTTTTTTAATCAGGTTTCAATTTTTTTTTTTGCATAAATCACGTTTTTCTTATGAGTCATAATGAAAAAACATCTGTTTTCTTGATTCATCATATTATGGTCATGTTTTACACCACAAAARCATATCACTTTAAAATGTGTTTACAGGCTATTGTACAAAACCTACTTATTGTCTTTTGATGAAATCAATCCTAAACTGTTGTCCCAATCAATGAGAACAAACAGTAACATGTTATCAGTTCATTGTACTGTGGTTTGTGTTGTCAGTTCCTATCTTTATGTCAGGCCACTATCAAAAGATTCAATCATGTTTCACCAAAGTTAACTGGCTCCTAATTCCAGATTCCTGTTAAATGAATAACTTAATTCAACCTTCGTGCCTACATGACTTTAACTGATGCTTATCAGTTTGTTGATTTTGCCMGTTAAGTCCAGGATTGGGAGTGAGCTGGTTCAGAAATCTGATTGTTGTCATATCTCATTGAAGATGTCCTCCWATGTGATGGAAGAAGAAACCATCAAAAGATGTTCTACAGAAGGACAGAGTGATACCTGAACTTCTCTTTGTGACCTGCTGTGACCTCAGATGAGCAGCTGGACAWATGGCATTCTTACAAATCATTAAACTTTGATTGAAACAGAAGCTTAGGGACCGTGAGACATTATTAATGCATATCTATAACCCCTGTGAGAATTCCTGCTGAAAAAACTACTTATGACAGTCCAACATTTTCACAAAACTTTGTTACGGATTAAAAGAAGCTATACATTTACGCCTCAGTGATGTGAAATATCATTTATCTTCATTTGTTTATTAGGTAGCATGTTCAGAAAAATCATCACACTCACAATGAGTAGAGACGCACTGTGCCGTATAGACCAGTGTTTCCCAAAGTTGGGGTCGGGACCCAAAGTGGGGTTCCGAAACACAAAGG